GAGGAAGAGGTGGATGCTGCTGCCAACTTATTTAAATTACCAGCAGTAGATCTGGACGAATACGACACCGACAGTGACGTCGAGGACAGTACTGATAGTGATTACGATAGTTCAGATTCAGATTAACTTGTTATTCAGATTAATTCAAATTTTAGTTCAGAAAAGACATTGTCAAAAGTTAAATTTACATTAAACACTTTTCATCAAATTGTTTTTTTTTCTATCATTACATAAGATGAAATCTACAATGTTGCATCTTTATCCATTGTATTTGCAAGCAGCGTTTCTACCGAAAATAGCCTTTCGCACCCTCAGAAATCTCTACTTTTGTTCTTCATGTAGAAACCTGCTAATTTCTAAACAAGAAACTGTAACTTTTTAGACAAAAAAGTTTGTTTTCTCATTTTAGATTACAAACGGGAAATTGACAGTCCCAAACCCTGCGAGGCTGTCAATTTCCCGTTTGTAATCTAAAATGACTGAAAATTGCAAATTTCACAAGGCTATATTTTCCGCATTTTACAACATTTCGCAACGAAACTTTGGAATATTACTAATTTTGTGATGCTACTTGTTTAGATCAAAATTTAGTCTATTACGCAAATGGTCAATTATTTGCATCCGATCGTTCTCCGCTCTTAAAAATTGGGGCTACCCTTGCACTTTTTAGGTCATTGGGAAAAATACCACTTATTAAAGATTTATTAAAAATAATTGAAAGAGACTCGGATATGATACCTGCAACACCCTTGATCACGTTACATGGTATTTTATCTAGGCCAGATGCCTTTTTAGAGGGGATATCCCTTACAGCCGCCGCAACCTGACCAGCACTAATGTGCTTAAAATTAAATTTACTTGTATACTTTGATTCACATAGGTGCAAGGATTTAAAGTTGTACTCGGAATATCACGGGCGAGGTCCGGTACCAATTTAATAAAATGTTCATTAAAATTTTCAGCTATAAGTTTCTTATCACTGATAATACCCGATTCGTTTTTTAAAATATTTACATTAGTCCCTTTGATAGGTTTGTTCAAAAGGTTATTTAGCAATTTCCACGTTTTCTTGGTGTTGCCTTTATTCGCCTCAAGGTTTTGAATAAAGTAATTTCTTTTGCATGTTTTTAGCTTATTATTAACCTTGTTCCTCATTTTACAGTATTCGAACCAGTTTGCTTCAGAACGACTTTTGACAACATGCTTTTTTAGGTAGTCCCTACGAAACATCATGTCTCTAATATCGGATGTAATCCACCGGGCATCACGATTTCTAATTCGTTTAGTTCTAATTGGTGCATGAGCATCCAGAACTCTATTAAAAAAAGCCTTCCACATTCGCCACATTTCATTAGGATCATGAAATCTGTTCAACAGTTCCCATGGTATTTTTTTTAAATCGTCGGTAAATGCATTCATGTCAAAGGTTTTATAATTACGAGTCTCAATCTCGCGTGGTATTATCATACGACGCACGGCATATATCAAACTATGGTCACTGATAGAAAGGTGACATACTCCACTACTCCTTATACGATGAGACGCTGTTGTAGCAAAGTGATCAATTAAAGTTTGCGTACGTACTGCTTGTAATACGTGTAGGTTGTTTAATAAGCTGAGTATACTGATATTCATCATATAGAGAAGTAAATTTCGATGTATGTGGAGTTTCATTTATCTCCAGGACATTACAGTTGAAATCACCTAGTATTATAGATTCCTTTTCCTCCATTTCTAGGGTGTTTGTATTCCGAGTAATGAGTAATGAATTTTCGTACTTGCTTTGGAAAGACAAACCATGAAAACATCACAGTGATTCCACTCACTCCTTGCCGTGAATAGTTATAATGCTGTGATAGTGCATGCCAGGTATGATCAAATATGGCCATAATTTCGCTTATAGCATACTCGTTTTTAGTACGTCACATATTAACCAGTTCAGCCTTCAAAACGTTTGTCTCCTAGTTCAATAACATGTTCGCAATAGTAGAATTACTAGAAAATACATGCATGCAGAAACCCTCGCCTTGCTGACAAAACCGTTGTATTTTCCGAACAGGAAGTATCTAGAGTAGTTGTCATGGTAACACGATAATGTTTTAAGAATATTCTTACAAATGAAAATCGCCTAAAAATATCACTTTTAATTACAAAATTATCAATTTCCCAACATATATATGTTAGGTATGTAATTATACGTAATACAAGCTTCAGTTTAAGGTAAAATTCAACCACAAACAATTCACAAAACGTTTTAAAGTGTTCTTTATAAAACTAAACTGCCTTTAACTATGATGATGATAAACTTTATTTAACCACGCTAACATTGTCAGCTAAAGCTGGTTTCCACAATGGGCGTGTGAACAAAAGTAAATTTACAAGAAAAAAAGATAAAGGTAGTAAGAAATTACATGCATATATGTGAAAAAGAAAATATACTATATAATATACGTTATAATAAACTATTAAATGGCTTTATCGATAAACTTTGAGTTTGCAATAAAATGATTTCAAATTCTCGCTTGCAAATAACTTTGGTCTTTGCTTTATTTTTTATTTAAAAAATTCAATATAATAAAAAAGGGAATCAATATTAAAGTTACACTGAAATTTATATATGCTGTCTTGCCGTTTAGTTGTTTCATATACGCAAAGGCCGTCGGGTTTTAAAGCCATTATAAAGTCAATATTTAAAACAAACTTACCTTCGTTAACGTCGGCTCCCTTCTTTTAGCTGATTCTTTCGCCCTTTCTTTCTTGAAATTTACAAAATCTTGCAGAAATACGAGCAAAAATGAAATATATTTGCAAGAAATTTATCAATCATCAAATCAAGAAATGTTTGCTATTTCGCTGTCGTCATGCAGTCGTTATAATGCAAACTTTAAATTGGACCAATCAGTGTCCGTTATTCATGACATTCCGCCATATTTTTGAGATCAGTGAGGATGACCACCCATCGTTGGTGACCGACGCCCGCGCTCATTGATGAACTTTAGACTTCGCTAATGCTTTCGTTTCCCCGGGTGTAAATAGCCGGGGGGGATTAGTACCCTCGCACGGCGCTTCGTGCCGCCGGCTCGGGGACAAGTAAACACTAATATAGCGGTCGACAAAAATCGATTTAAAGGAGATTGGCAACAAAAATTGCTTCATCTATCTTATTGCTTCATCTGAAAGAGCATGAAAAAATAAGCCGATTGGCCGTTTACTGCTCTATTCTATCTCATCTAGTTCCGAAGTTATACGCAAAAATGTGCAAAATATAAATTGCTGATTCAGCACAACGTGTGACGTCATTAGCTGGGTAAGTATGTTTATTGAATACTACACTGAAGCATAGCTCAGTTATTATGGGCCCAAATCAAATGAAATTTTGATACTGATTGTACATGATGAGACGCATGGAAAAACACTTCTAATTTTGTTACCAAGGTAACAATGTCGTTCCCAGACCCCTTGCGCCAATTTTATAAAACAGCTTTATTCAAGGTACTGATAAAAATAAAATAATATCAGAAGTATGTGTATGATACCAATGCATGCCAAAAGTTTACTTGCATGATAATAATTCGAAAATGACATACACATAGATAAATGCAACCAGTTATTTAAAATCAGTGTAAGAGGCCTGGGAACGACTGTGTTGCCTTGACAACGAAATTAGAAGTATTTTCGCATGCATCTCATCATGTACTATCTGTATGCAAAATTTCATTTGATTTGAGCCAATAATAACTCAGCTATGCTTTAGTTTACTATTCAATAAACATATTTACCCAGCTTATGACGTCACACATTGTGCTGAATCAGCAATTTATATTTTGCACATTTTTGCGTATAACTTCGGAACCAGATGAGATAGAATAGAGCAGTAAACGGCCAATCGGCTTATTTTTTCATGCTCCTTCAGATGAAGCAATAAAATCAATAAAATTTTTTGTTGCCAATACCCTTTAAAGAGTAATATCTTGGTTTTATAAACTGAAAACTTAGTTATCGACATTTCGCATGGGAAAAACCTGAATTTAGCCGAACAAAATGGTATGGAAAGTGTTTTCGAGCTTAAAAACGTTTGGACGTCAATTGCGGATTTTATACTGGCTGCATGACCGCATATAGCAAAACAAATATGGCGACCGAACTGACTTTACCATAAAATCAACCTTTATACGACAGCGCTTGTATTGTGGCTTCGGTGGCGAAGTGGTTAGCGCACTTGCCTTTTCACCTCTAAGGTCGCAGGTTCGAATCTCAATGAGGACTTCTCATTGTGACTGGAACCCAGTCCTAATGTGAAAAAAGTAAGTCAACGCTCTGCCGAAAGTCGTGGGTTTTCTCCGGGTATCAGTGTATGCTGCCATGGAAGTTCAAATATACTATCTATCTATCTATGTTGTTCAACTTTGGGACGATCGTTTTGAAGGCTGAACTGGTTAATATGTGACATGCTAAAAACGAGTATGCTATAAGCGAAATTTATATGGCCATAGTTGATCATACCAGTTTAAACTGCTGACACCGTTACAGCATTATAATTATTCACGGCAAAGAGTGTGTGGAATCACTGTCAATGTTTTTATGGTTTATCTTTCCAAAGCAAGTAGGAAAATTCATTACTCATTACTCATTACTCATTACTCATTACTCGGAATACAAACACCCCCATTTCTAGCGACTGGAGATAGGTTTCAAATGTATCAAGAACATTTAATTCACTTGCTGGAGGTCTGTACCAGGTAGTAACCAAAAATGGTTTTACGTATTTACCTATAATCTCGATAGTTAATATTTCAAGATTAATATCAGAAGTTATTTGTTTGGTCAAAAAATTCCATGTCTCCTTTACGTATAGCTGGGGCCGGTTGTACGAAAGGTGGATAAATCGCTATCCGGTGGATAAGTCGCTATCCAGCGGATAAATTTTATCCGGAGTGAAAATCGCGTTGTACGAAGCTTGGATAGCGCTATCCAACGGATAAAATGCACTATCCGGTGGATAAATTTATCCGAGGTCCGGAGGTAGTTTAAATCCACTATCCGGCGGATAAACTCGAAGTTTGAAGACAAAACAATGTGTATTTCATTTAAAAAGGATTGCTATTGTGATAAAAATGGACAAATACCGTTTAGAAGTCCCTTTTTTGACACTAAATAAACATGGAAACTTACTTATGACTTCTCTTGCTCTTGACGTACCGAGCTCACTTTGAATCACTTGCCCATTAAATAATGCCATGACTTTGCCATATTTTATGCAGACCTGTGTCAGTGCTTAGACGTTACGTTTTCTGGCTTTTTTCCTTCTTTTTTTCTGTTATATAGCTCGAAAACAAGCAATAAAACTTTCATTAAATGAGTTCCCTTCAACGCCAAACAAATATAGCTGCATTTATAGACAACAAGGCACCGAAAGTCGAAAAATTTTGTTCGCTGGTTTTGATCAGCCAATCAAATCTTGCGAGAAAATGTTCTTAAAATTGTTTTGAATGACGTGAAAGGTCAAAGAACAAATATTCCGACAGTATTTAAAATAAAACTGAATCAACGTACTGAAACAAGAAAACAAAACTCGCAGTCTTTGCTATTGCCTTCGCATAAAGAAGCCAAAATTAGTTTAAAGAAATATCGATAAGTAGATAGCAAACTCTTCACTGTGGGAAAACGAAGTATTGCAACGATTGGACGAGAAAAACTCCAAAATATAAACATGAACAAAAAACCTTTATTGCAAGTTGATAGTTCAAAGGTTAGTGGAATTCACAAGTTACTACAACAAAAGTTTACAAATACCTAGCAACAGCTGGCGTTGAGATAAGAAATTTCAGGAAAATCCGGTTTTCTCCGGTTAAAATTAAGGTTATCCGACGGATAGCTATCCACCCTGCTATCCGTGCTTCGTACAACGCATTTTTATTCGGCAGATAGCTATCCATTGGATAGGAGATTTATCCATTGGATAGGACTTATCCACTTTTCGTACAACCGGCCCCAGAACTCCACCCCCGTGTCTAATTTCTATCTTTACGTACTACATTGTATCCTATTATTGAAATATCCTTGTCAGCAATTGTGCTGTCTAAACGCGTCTCATTAATTGCTAAAATATCAAGAGTTTGGCTGGACATGACCATTTTTAATTCATCTATGACTGATATCAGCTACTTTTGTCCTGACCTCTTGGAATTGCTGTGTCCCAACAAGGTACAGGGATTAGTTTCCACTCCGCACGAATCGCATGTCATTACTCCGGAAAGGTTCACAAATTGATGATTACGTCTTTTAAAGCACAACTGCTGACCGCTCGCCTCAACATTAGGCTGCTTGTGAACCCCTTTAATACCCATCAAATCTAAGTACTCCTTTTCCGCTTGTCTGAAAAGATCCATTTTTAACCGATGTTTGCTCAAGAGCTAAATGTTTCTCTACCAACTTCCTGAAAAGATCCATGTTTTATTTAAATCTAAAAACATTTATCTTTAAACCGTTTACCGGTGGGAAGACTTTGGGAAGACCTTGGGAAGACTTTATGGAGACTTAACTTGGAAAAACTTCGGAAAGCATTCTGCAGGCGCGTGGGGTGAATGTTTGTGGGGGTCTGGGGGAGGACTTGGGATGGTTGTGTAAGGGGTGCGCCTGATGGGGAATAGGGTCCAGTAGGCTGATGGTTCCGAGAGGGGCGTGAGGGGGATTGTAGGAAACCGAAGTGACGTCATAGTTTATCCAGGAAAACGGAATTCTAGGAACTAATTGGTAAAAGGGAATTCCCCTTTTGGGCATGTTTGGGCAAGCCTAATTTGCGGTAAACCGGAAGTGACGTCATCAGATGTGCACAAAAGGTATGCAGAAGAATTGTCATCCTGGGGGTGGGGGTGGGGGGATTTCACCAAAATGAGCCAGAAACCGCACTTGTCTACTACTTATGTTTCAATGGATTTTAGCACCCCAAAATGAATGCTTTCAACAACATGGGAGCAGTTAATACCCATCCCAAAAGCAATAGTTCATATTACAACACTTAGGCAGCTATCAGGGAGTGTCAGTTGTGAGACAATATGTTTCTTTACCATTTCAGGAGTTCCGCCATGAAACATATCAACAAGACGAAACCTTTGATTTGGCTCACTGTAAAGAAAAATGTTCTCTAACTCCGAGCTGAATGCATTGAAAATTGCAGCACATTGGCTTCGTGTTTGTGTATAAATTGGCCTTCGAGAGCACCTGTCTTTTTTTTCAATTAATGCATTGATAAAAGAACTGAAAATGCTTGCAATTTCTAAATCATTTTCAACATACTCAACACAATATTTAATAATTTTTCGCTTAGGATTTTTTCAATAAAAAATGTATCTGAATGATCAATTTCAAGCATAACAGAATTTTCTGCTTGTTTGGTCGCAGTTGCAGTAAATAGGGCAAATTTTACCCCTGGATCAAGAAGGCATCTGAATTGATAAAGTTCCCCATACCATCTACGAAATTCAGCTTCATATCCCTTGTAAACAGTAAAGATAAACGTTCATTTGTATCACCAATAAATCAAAATACAAATAGGAAAATTTATGAAGGAGTTTAAACATGTCATATTAATATTAAAAGCATTTATTTTTATAACACAATATTTATTATATGTATGCATATATATGCATGTAAAAGACAATAGTTACATCGACGTGTATTAACTTCACAAATAATGTGTACTCTATATAAAACATATATACTATAGTTAGATAAAAAGTTCAATAAGTTACAGTTTTAAATAAACTGGAATAAACTACGAATGATCGCTTGTATCTCTAGCCTCGCTTTCTAAGTGTTCTAGTAACTCTCCTAGGGGGTCATAGCTCGTGTAAACTATGCGTTGTGTCTTCCGAATATATACTATAAACTCTCACCATTGAGAAATTATGTGGGCTTCGTCATACGCTATTCCAATGCAGTCATCACGAAATTAGTCAGAACATAAAATACTTCTCCATATTTTTTTTCAAGCAGACATTCTGGTGATGCGTATACCAAAGAATAAATGCATTCTCTAACGTCCTTAAGTGTAAACTCGTCACCCGCATTGTCAGAATACAGAGCTATTGAAGAAATACCAGTATCCTTCATACGATTACATTGGTTCTCCATTAATCCATGATTGCAATGGTGAGATAACAATTAAAGTTGAAAATCCTATGGTTTGTTCGTGAAGCACATCAGTCACCCACGGAAGAGATTGATATACTATCCATAACCCGTTGGTGCGTTGAAAAATACATTCGGCCATTACAGAATGCTTTTATCAATTTCATCTGATCATCATAAAGCTTTTCCACTTTGAACACATATTTAATTAAATCGAAAGCTTCTTCAAATCTTTTATTCATGAGCACGTCGTTGTCGGGCGTCATGGTTGTTATTTGCATAAATTATAATTAAACATTCTATCATGCTGACATGTGCATACGCTGGACGAGAAATTTGAGAATATTGCACAGTCCACTCACTACGTTGAGGTGGACTGGGACACAGGCTAAGTATCGCGTCAATAAGACAGATATAATGCGGAAATAAAAAATGGTACAAAGGGCCGATTTTGAAAAAAATGTTAATATCAATCATCAGAATTCGCACGCCCAATCAAATTATTAAACACATGCACTGACACGTTTTTGCTGCTGATCGTTTTCCGAATTGACGCGAACACCAAAATTGCGGCACAAAAAGTTACTTAATATTATAAAGAACATATCACATACCTTAAAGAAAGCATCAGCATCTATTAATACCAAGTAAATCCCCTCAAAAGGCGGACGTCACCTCATCCTGTTTCGTATCCAGTTATAACCCATTCGTATTCGAATTCTGTAAATTTTGCCGTCCGATAAATCGAGGATTTAGTTTGATTGATCTGTACGATAGTTTCTTGGCAGATTTATAAATTATTGGTTTGATTATACCATGTCCATCGAAGACTTGTCCATCACATATGAACGTAAACATCACCAGCGACTTTCTTCGTATGAAAACTTTAGTTTGCTTTGCAATCGCTGCGCATAAACACAATCATTTGTGTAGTTAAGGATTTACTCTACAACAGTCAACAAAAATAATATGGATATTTTCAAGATCTAGGGCATTACAAAACGAAAATTAACCTCCTTCCAATTGCTTGACAAAATTTGAAAACCGAAATTTTACGAGAAAGTTGCTAGCGCCCGCTATGAATTTGGACAGCGTCGATAAAAGTCTTCCCGGCATGCTCCGCGGAGTAATAAAACAAAAGTAATAGCGGTGTTTCCATTATGAAAACTCTATTAATAGGTTTTGTTTGTGGAAACACCACGTAAATTTATTACTGCAAAGCTTTCGATCCGTAAGCCCGGATCTTCATCAGTGCTAATAATATGCATATGATATGATATGATATGATATGATATAATATGCATATTATTAGCACTGATGAAGATCCGGGCTTACGGATCGAAAGTTTGCAGTAATAAATTTACGTGGTGTTTCCACAAACAAAACTATTATATTTTATCACCATGCAAACATACAAAGAACTGAAAACTCTATTGTTCCATTTTTCATTCGTATTCATTGGAAATGAATTAGAAATGTAATTGTTTGTTGCGAAATGCGGAGACATCGAAGCAATTTTGTTGTTTTTATCCAAACGTTAAATTATAAAATATTTTCACCATTTCTACAAATTGAGTTTTTCTTTTGTCGTTCAGGCAGTAATAAAGCCATTTAAAAGTTGTGGTAGATTAACTTTAAATATAACAGTAATTAATTAACTTAAGGTGGCTCCCTACAGTTATTCCTGTTTACCCAATAATTCCGTAAAACAGGTTTATTTGTGCAGAACGGGAATTCGTTTCGACTTGGTGACCATATTGTTCACCTAAGGAATATTTCGAACTAGATTTCGACGTCAGTGTTACCATGACAACATGACGACAGCACAAAACCTTCCAATTTAACCCATAAATGTGCCGCTATCTCAAAAACGATGTCGGTGACCTATCTTTTTTATTTCATGCATATATCAATAGGGAATGATGCTCTGCAACTGTGGTGAAAGTTTAAAAAAATTCTGTAGTGTGTGATTTTTTAAAAGCGAAAATTTTATTGCGAAATTTCCACACTACAGATTTTTTAAAAATTGAAATTTATATAATTTACCGCAAAATAAATTCGTGATCAAAATTTGAAGATAGGTTACCGATGAAACTAATGAGTAAAATGCAAATAAAGTTAGAAAATAGCCTCGTGTAACTCGAGAAATTCTTTTATTGAAAAGCGTCGCTGAGTAGTAAAAGATTGTACGCGGGCGCAGAACGAGTTTTCATTCAGCAAAATCGAGCCGAAATGTTGTTTTTACTGTTTTGTTTTTGTCAACTTTTCGATTTATTTGAGTGCCATGGACAGCCAATGATTAATGTGAAGGATCAAATCGATGAGAACAAGGTTGAAGCTAATTAAACCCTGCCGTTTACTCAATCTATGAGCTGTAACAGCCTACTAAAAGGTGTACGTGTTTTTTTGTTTCATGTTTGGTTTTGTACTTTTTGCTAAAAACGAACAGTTAGGATATGAAACTGAAATATTTTTCTGTTTACATATAATCACTTTCATCTTGTAGAAACACGACTAAAAACGTGAACGTTTTCTTGAGAAGTAAATAACTTTTTAAACGTTTGTATGCAATTTTGCAAATGTTTTACAGTTGACAGTGTATATTTAAAGAATTAAAAAACATTGTTTCGTAGCTATTTTTTGGTCTAGTGATATTTGTATCATATGTAGAATTGCTGTATAGACTCGCAAGTGATTTGGCTGTCAAAACGAAGTATTATTCAACGCTTTTTTCCATTAGAAACCTTTCAGAAATAGCTTTATTTTTAAAAAAAGCGTTGTCAATTTTTGTTTTGTTTTGATCATGCGGTTGCGTGGGTAGTTCACGTACTGGTCCCGCAAACATCCCACACGCAACTGTAGGGAGCCTCCGTAAACAAAAGTGAACATTTAAAGAAAAGATTTGTCATGATGCTCTGTTTTGTTGTACTATATTTTGGGCAATATTTTTCCATTTTTCTTGCATTATAAAATTGACAGCAAAATTGCAAATCCTTACGCACTCCTCGAGTGCCTATTTTTCTTATTTGATCGTTGTGTTGTTTAATACTTTCGTGTTGCCAGTTAATCAGAGAGCTCATTTCTACATCTTTACAAGTAAGCGATAATCCCAGCCTTTCCCGCGTAATTAATTTTACGTTTAAGTCGCTCACTGTAGGGTGTTTAAGATTCAAATAAAAAGGTTTTGACAATCTAATATTCACAGAAAAGCTTATAAAGACAATAAAATGGAAGTTAAACCCGAATATTTATTTCCCAAGTATTACGGTAGTTACACGACTTTAGCAAGAACAAGGTCTTGCTTTTCAGGCAGGCGGTAAGGCAGAGTTTGTAGGTTTGTAGTTCACAAGTTTCGCCAGTCTTCCTACTCCAGTCCAGTCTGGTGAGATCTCTTATTAACACGAACTTGTAATTTACCATCTTTTACCTGGAACAACGATCAGGATTTTGGTATGCTAGGATCACTTGGTAAGCCGATGTATTTGCTGCCTTGACGACTCGTTGGAAATTATCTTTATCTCCAGTCTTAATAAGATATCCATCTCCATAAGCGATCCATTTTTCATTTTTCTTGTTTTTAACACGCAGACCAAATCTGCAGTCTTCGTCATGCATATACTTGCTCAGTAGATCGCCAATAAGGCTTCCGGTAACGTTGAAATGAAGTTCCACTCTCGGAGTCCTGTATATGGGAAGAACAACACATTCAACAAAATTATCCTACATTTAAAAATTATGGAATGAAGTTGTGCATGATGTGAAGAATATTAAAGCCGAAACACAAACTGAGGGCTCGATAACACTTCACATTTGGCAAAAACAGAATCCAATAATTGTCTTTTATCTACAGGTGTATTTAAAAATGAAAAATACATCCGCCCCGGTGGGTTCAATTCGCCGAAATAATGGCCAGTTCTTGTTCCAATGGTCAAAAAATCTTTCCTTTATTTATTTCCTATGTACGTTAAAGATGGTTTAAAATTTGGTGGGGCTGTTTTTGTTCATAATTCTTATATATCGGGATTTTGGTCTTGTATGGAACAGTATTTTGAGAATCAGAAATTGTAAATTACTCATACTATATGTAACTTTTAATAAAATGAAATTGGGGGTCACTGACATTGTTTCCAAATTAACTTAATTTTAACGCAAATGAAGGAACCATTTTAAAACGTCATTGTTGCCATAATAAACACAGTTACGGACGTCTCCGTTACAGTCTCTGATTCTCAAAATAGTGTTCTATACAAGACATCTGGGATTCTATAAAAATATACAACATTGCCAGACTAATAGCTGGCTTTACGCATTGAAGGACTAACCTCCGAAATGCAACTAATATCATAACTTAACAAGTCGTTCTCAGCTTGACCTTGTAGCTCAGACGGTAGAGCATCGTTCTAGAAATGCGAAGGTCGCGGGTTCGAATCCCAGCCGCGGTCAAGTAGAATTGTCTGCTTGCCCGGTTTGGTATACACTCGTCTGAAAACAACTCAAATATATATATATATATATATATATATATATATATATATATATACTCAAATGTTCAAAATCGGAAGCATATTTTGGGATGTGTCTAAAATTAGCGAAAATCGGCATATCAAATATATAAATATTAACTCCAGCGTTTGTTTGCTTAATGACATACCAGGCTGACTTGTATTTCAGCGAATTGTCGTTAGGGTTTGTAAGGGATATGGCGTAGATTTAGACATCTTACATGTAAGTCTTAGCTCATTGTTTCCTGGAATATGAACGTTCGAAATTATGCAAGTATTTAATTATAGTCTTTACAAACTTAAAGGTACATGAAAGACCATACAAGGCAGGCGCTTAAATTTTTCTTAAAGGGTATGGGCAATGAAAATTGCTTCATCTATCTTATTGCTTCATCTCAAAGAGCATGAAAAAATAAGCCGATTGGCCGTTTACTGCTCTGTTCTATCTCATCTGGTTCCGAAGTTATACGCAAAAATGTGCAAAATATAAATTGCTGATTCAGCACAATGTGTGACGTCATAAGCTGGGTAAGTACGTTTATTGAATAGTAAACTAAAGCATAGCTGAGTTATTATTGGCTCAAATCAAATGAAATTTTGCACACAGATAGTACATGATGAGACGCATGGGAAAATACTTCTAATTTCGTTGTCAAGGCAACACAGTCGTTCCCAGGCCCCTTACACTGATTTTGAATAACTAGTTGCATTTCTCTATGTGTATGTCATTTTCGAATTATTATCATGCAAGTAAACTTTCAGCATGCATAGGTATCGTACACATACTTCTGATATTATTTTATTTTTATCAGTACCTTGAATAAAGCTGTTTTATAAAATTGGCGCAAGGGGCCTGGGAACGACATTGTTACCCG